GGGGGGGGGGGGAGTGGAAAAGGGAAACACTGCTCGAGTTGGGGTAAGCTGTCTCTGCAAAGTCACAGAGGAAGGAGTGAGGAGGGGCAAGCGAAAGATCAGCAGCGCATTTGGCATAGGAGCATCACAAACAGCTGAAGGATGAAGAACATCTAATGATGTTTTAGTAACTTGACCCACCAGAGAAATAAAAAATTTCCCTGAATTTTCAGCATTTGTTTATTTCCACAGTGTAAATATTCCCACCCTGGTTGATTTCAAGCTAGCAAACTTAGTTTAAGCAAGCAAACTTATTTTTTCAAGCTAGCTACTTATTTTAGGCCATTCTCAGAAAAACCAATTCCAAAGTTTCTGAACAGCAGAGTGACATAGCAGAAGGAAGCTGGGTTAGGGGAATTCAATTTGGTAGCGAACGATTGAAGATGGTAGAGGTTGGCCTTAGGAATTTTGGGGTTTATTAAAATACATCAATTGTGAGTTTAATAATTCAGCTGATCACAATACAAATTACAAAAAAAGAGGGAGCAGAGGGAAGATATATTCAGAAAGAATTAGCAAGCTGACTTGATAACTGAAGGATTGTGTGGAAGGAATACAAGATGATTTGGGTTTTCAGCCTGGGTAACTTAGACTTGAAAATCAGCCGCCATCTTTGGCGGAAACAAGAACTCACTTTCTATCTTAAGTTGTTCCCTTATGGGCAAACTGCCAGCTTCCTGCTCAACTAAGAAAAACAAGAGGTTGGAGTTGTAGAACCAGCTACAACTAGATCTCGCCAGCCAGTCATATGCAGTAGTGACCAACATGTCCTCAACCTGACCTTTGGACATCATGCGACTGAAAACACACATTCATCAACATATCAGACCTGGGCAAAGCGCCATCTTTGTGACACCCCTTCCCAACTGAGAATGCTAACAAGACTCATCCTTGTGCTAGTCATTCTGTGACAAATACCAACCAGGTGTCAATTACCACCCTAAAAGAATCTAATAAAAAGACACCTGACCCAGGACTCAGGATGCCGGCTTGGTGACACAACTTCTAATGCACTCGTTTGCTTGGTGAACCAAATCAAAGCTTCTTTTGCTTTCAGCCATTTTTGTGTCTCAGTAGACATGCCAAGCAAGACCTAGGGGACCTCGATAACATTTTTGGTGAGCCAACCAGGAAGCTATGGCAATATAACTAAAGAGCCTTGGTGGCTCAGTGGTTAAGGAGACTGGCTGCTAACCAAAAAGCTGGCAGTTCGAAACCACCAGGAGAAATATGGGGCTTCCATAAAGATTTACACTCTTGGAAACTCTATAAGGCAGTTCTACTCTGTCTATAGGGTCAGTCTGAATTGCAATCTTCTTGGCAGCAATGGCTTTGGTTTGGGACTTTCAATGAGAGAAAGGATAGCAACGCATTGCTGGTTATGGAAAAAGGACATAAAGCATCTTTGAGTTTTTATAAATAAGTAATTCTTTTCCATTTGAAAGACACCACCACATAGAAGACATGTGGTTGCTGCAATTTCTAAAGCTATAAAGCCAAGGCAGTTCCCAGGAAGACCATATGGCGAGAGCCATGTTAGGCCCACAAGTTTCATGGCTTACATCATGAACAAGTTTCAGAAACTGGGAAGTGTAGAGGACACTGGAGCACATCTACCTAGGCCCACCCTATAATGCCATAAAATAAAACAGACAACAACTAGAATAATTCAGAGAAATGTCAAGAAAAACTTTCAGTAAAACTAGAAACCACCCACTGTTGTGGCAATTCCCCTAGCTATGCAGAGCCATCAAAACTATAGCCTGCCTGACCTTTTCTAGCATGAGAGGATAGAAAAAAATGTTCAGATTTACCAATGCGGACACTTTTTCCAGAATCTTTCTATAACGTTGGTCAAGAATGTGATCTCTCCAGCATATGATAGCTGGTGTATACTTTTAGTCAGCCCAAAGGTACCCACAAACAAAAGGCTCAATTGCAATGTGACCACTGGTAAAGTCAACATGCAAGCACGTTTCAAAAATAAAGTCACATAGCCAGACCTCGTACTGAGGATCTGAAACAACCCACAGAACAGTGAGGAGCCTCAAGGCTGAGCTGATGGATGGATGCCCTTGAGGAAGACTTGGTCAAGTGAAAAAGGGAGCACTCTTAGAGAGACAGGGCAAAGCAAGTCTCTGAATACAAGGATCAGATACCCGGAAAGGTGGCCAAACCTAAAGCACCAGGCTCCAGCTGGGTTCACTGGCCCTAGCCTCTTAGCCATGCCTCCCAGCTCTCAACAGGAGGCAGAGAGGCAGTGGGGCTGTATGTCAGTGTTAAATTTCAGTCTCTCTAGGACAGATCCCTTACCTTCAGACAGGGACAAATCATCAGCTGGAGACACCAGGTCTGCCTGTGAAGCGAGGGCTCTGCTCAGATGGGTTGTAATTTGATTCGTCAAGATAACCTGTGAACAGACAGGGAGAAGGTGGAGGAAGGGAGAAGAAAGAGAGAAAAGACTAAATTAATTATTAGAGCTATCAAGAGGCAGACTGTGGTTTAGGGGAAGGCTGATAAGTGCCCAGGTAGGAAAACCCTCGCTTGGACTTTCAGCAACCTTATCTTTAGGCCAGAAGATCTGCAAGGTCTGTCAGTCATTCAAAACAGAAAAGTGAGGAAGCAAGATAATTTTGTCTACTCCCTGAGCTTAAATCACTATCAAATCTTTCTAAATGCTGAGAAAATTGTGACTGAGAGGTACTGTTATATCAGCTCAAAAACAGAACGCTAACTAGGGGTCTTAGTGTGGTGGTGTAGGATAAGCACTAGACTTCTAACAGCAAGTTCAGTGCTTCAAACCCACCAGTCACTCCTTGGAAACTCTATGCAGGGTCACTATGAGTCAGAGCCAACTCAACATCACTTAACACCAACTAGAGAATTACACATCTTACTTATATCCAGATACTAAAATATTGCTGGTGCTGAATAAAAGTAATAATTTAAAATCGGATGCCTGTGGCTTCTACCCTTGTTAATTCACAAGTTACAGTTTTATTTCCAGTTTTGTAAAACAGAAACATGATTCATCTCCCACAGCATATTGTACTTCTTTTAAATTAGTTGAATTTTAACAAAATATTTTGACAAGTGTCACTGTGTATTTAAAACAAAAATAAACATAATGCTACCTATCCAAAATAAAAGGCGCTCTGGTAGCGTAGTGGTTATGAGTCGGGCTGCTAACCTCAAGGTCAACAGTTCGAAACTACCAGTCGTTCCATGGCAGAAAGATGAAGCTTTCTGATCTCATAAAGATTTATAGCCTCAGAAACCCTATGCAGGGTCACTATGAGTCGTAACCGACTTCACAGCACACCACCATCCAAAATAAAGTTCATAATGTTAAAATTCCTGACAAGGACTCTAAAACTGTCTAATTCACGTGACTCACTGCCACAGAATATTTTCACACTTGGAAGTCAAGAAACTATTCTTGTCTATAAAAATGGTTATTCATGAAAAATTCTTATTGTTTAGAAACCTGAAGGAAGAATAAAGTACAGATTCTCTCTAATTAATTATTAGAGCTATCAAGAGGCAGACTGTTAACTGTTAACTTACGGCACAGTTCGCTGGGGTTTAGTAGATGATGAAGACATGACACTAACATGCTTAACATGATTCTAAGATTTGAGTGTTCCCAGTATGGCTATTGGTCACTCAGAGGAAACACCCCTTCTGAAAAGTCCACCAGGTATTTAGTGCATAACCCATTGAAATATACTGACAGGCTCTCCCCAGGATTGGCTATGGTTTTGTTGCCATCTTAGCTTGAACAGAAATGGAAATCGTCGCTATTCCTTATTGTCCAGAATTTTAGCCACACCTCTGTCACTGTCTCTTGGAAGAACTGTACCACTGAAGACAGAGAAGAAAATAGAATGGCAAGGTCAGATCAATTAATAGTCAATACTCTTCAGCGATGATCAAGAGACTGTGGCATTCACCAAGTATTTGCTGATCTGATTCCCTATATTGTTTTGTATTGCTACTTTCCATCTGGCCTGGTAAGAATCACACATGATAAGTCTTTAATTAAAATGTTTAGAAACAATGAAATTAACATCTACTGTCTTATGGAATATGGATAAAGAACTGTATCCATTTCTTTCTTTATGATATAGGATATGAGGTTTGTTGTTGTTGTTGTCAAGTGCCATCGAGTTGATTCTGACCCATAGCGACCCTGTATAGGGTTTCCAAGGAGCAGCTGGTGAGCTTGAGCCACCGACCTTGCAGTTCAAATGACTTTGCAGGAATTCCATAAAATTGGGGTAAAATTTTGATCCTGACTCTGTGTACTTTGGGAAAGTTACTTAAGCCACTGTGCTTTTCTTTTGTTGTTGTTGTTCACCAGTAAAACAAAATTTATCTTATAGAATTGTTATGAGACTTAACAGAGACAATAAATATCAGGTATTTAACACAGTATCTGTCCCATTATAAATATTCAGTAGACAGTAGCCATTGTTACTGCTATCGTTGTCATCACCTTCTTCAGAATGATAATACAAGGGTTAATAAACTGGCATATAGCATATGCATGAATCATTTGTAAAAATATTACAGCAAACCACCATTTGCACATGCGGATATACTCTGATATCTGATCATTTCTACTGATTCTTAGTCTTATTTCATTCATTTAATTAATCAAGTTTTATTTAATTGCAAAGAGTGTGTTCAAAATTCCCAGTAAAAAAACAGATAGCAATTATGAGGGGACTTCAAAAAGTTCATGGAAAAATAGAATTAGGAAGTAATGGGACTTTTCCATGAACTTATTTAAAACATAGTCAATAGATAGTGATGGTAAGTGATCTGAAAATACTATGTGCTTTCCTTACCAATGGTCAAACTGTGTCTATTCTGGTATAATTATTGTGAGTTTTATGAGATATATAAATCCGTAAAGTCTAATATTTATGACATTCTTTGAAAAGATGGCTTGGCTCACATGAGTAAAACTCCCAACATTATGCCAACAGTAATCAGAAACATGAATATTTACTACAAACCTACCATGCAAAGCATGCCACCATGCACTGCATATCTTCCCTAGAAACACAGATGATATTTACTAAAATATTCAAACCAATTTTTCCTCAATTTTATTATTATTTTGCTGGTCTTGCAACTTGTACTGAGATGATGGTCCTATTGTACAGCACTGATGAAATGATACTCTCTGATGGACTCCCTTAGAGATTACCTAATGGACTAATGGAATACTAATGGACTAATGGAGTCCTGGTATGGCACTATATGGGTTTAATGTGCTGGACTACAATGTTGGTTTGAACTGCAAGGTTGGCGGTTCAAGCTCATCAGTTGTTCCTTGGAAACCCTATACAGGGTCGCTATGAATGGGAACCCACTCAACGACACTTAACGACAACAATGGACTCCTGGTGTGGCGCTATAGGATCAGCACTGGACTGGGAATCACAAGGTCGGCAGTTCAAACCCACCAGATGCTACTCGGAAACCCTGTTTTAGGGTCGCTGTGAGTCAGAATTGACTCAATGGCACTTAACGAAGACAGGCTAAAACCAAACTACAAATATACCTGAGATGATAGCCACCCTCATTTCCACTTCTAATGGCAAGAGTAGATGAAGAAGGAAGAAGGGGCTGGCCTTCGAGCAACAACGATGCAAGATGGCAGTTCCCATGGACTCAGGAGTAAAAGTCCCTCGCAATTTCCGACTGTTGGAAGAACTCAAAGAAGGCCAGAAAGGAGTAGGAGATGGCACAGTTAGCTGGGGTTTAGTAGATGATGAAGACATGACACTAACAAGATGGACAGGGATGAAAACTGGACCTCCAAGAACAATTTATGACAACCAGATATACAACCTTAAAGTAGAATGTTGACCTAAATACCCAGAAGCAACCCCCTTTGTAAGATTTCTAACACAAATTACTATGAGTGGAATGAATAGTTCTAATGGAGTGGTGGACCCAGAAGCCATATCAGTGCTAGCAAAATGGCAGACTTCATATAGCATCAAAATTGTCCTGCAAGAGCTTCAGCGCCTAATGATGTCTAAAGAAAATATGAAACTCCTCAACTGTCTGAAGGACAGTGTGACAGCAATTAATCAAAAAGAAAAACCACAGGCCCTCCCCTCTCCCTACCCCCATTTGATTTATGCAGTCTTCATTTTCCACAGTAGTAAAATTTCTAGCTATGTCTGGTAGACTTCAAAGTACTGGAAAGGAAGCTCTCATTCAAGGGCAAGTTATCTTAAGATACTGTAAATGATACTAATTTTTTGTCCATTTGAAATATGTAAGTGTGCTATAACAACAACAACAACAAAAAGAGTAGATGAAGAAGAAAACATTTCCACTATCTAATGGCAAGACAACACATTCCTAAATGCTTTTACTAATAAATGGCCTAAAAGTCAAATCACAGAAACAAAAATGAAGACTTTGCTAATCACACCTTCTTACTGAAATGTTATGGTTTCCTAAATACGTATTCAGCAAAATGGTAGAATGAAAATATTTCCAAAAAGCATTGATTACAAATAATCACAATTTAGGCAGAAGCCTAGAGGCATGTGTTCCTCTGAGGCAATCTGGAGACTTGAAATCTACACTTTAAGAATAAGTTATGTCAAGACAAACCCCCCCTCCAAGACTGAAACTCAAAGGGAGCAAACGAGCAGGCATGTAAGCTTGCTGGTGACCAAGTTGGTCTACTGGTGAGTGGAAGTTGGGGAAAGACAGCAATAAACATATGGGCTGAGTTCAACCATGTTTCATAGACCCCAGTCAACTTAGAGATGAGAGAGAGAGGAGGAAGGGTTGATACAAATTATGGTGAGACCTGGAGACTCCTGAGCCCATGGACAAAGACACAGCCATGGAGGGCTAGAGCTGAGAGTAAAGTGTCTAACTGATGTGAATTGAGGGGAGACCCACAAGAACACCCAGACTTGCAGAAAGTATCTATTTGACCTAGTTTAGATGGACAGATGATCAGAACTCGAGGAGAGGAAGATAAAAAAAAAAAAAAAATTTGATAAAGGAAACAAGTGTGAAGCTATACTTATGGATGTATTAGTTCAAAAGACCAACTGAGAGGAAAGAAGTACTCACATCAAGGATCAATTCTATCCCTTCTGTCCACAGGATTGATAGAGATGGACAACTTAGACATGGGCTACCTAAAATGGGGGGGGCGGGGGCGGCGGCGGAGGACTATAAAGGCACAAAGTGACTGACTTACAAGTTTTCAAGAGGGAGTTTAGTTTCAGAATGTGCAGGGGAAAGTAGAAGCCTCACTGAATAGTTTTCATCTTGTCTAGTGAATGGAGATGGGGATAAGATTCTGATGATTCAGTAGTAATTGTTAGCATTGATTAATTGTGATTGTCACACTGTAAAGGT